AGAAGCAATTTAAATATGTTCAGGGACCATTTTCATCTCCAGAATTAAGGATTATTTTGATGTTACATCATTGCCTTTTCTCTTTTACTTTCCTTTTTAGTTTTATTTTAGGATTCCCTATTTTTAATGTTCATACAGAGATTTCTTTAACTGAAATACCGAATAGTTTCTTTGGTGTGAAAAACTATAATAGTACACAGGATCCTAATGAGACAATAATGTGAAATAGGAAGTAAAGGGCTAAAGGTGTAAGGAAAGTGGGAAGGGTGGGGGAGAGGTAATAAGGGAGAGGAAAAAATATGAGAAACTGAAAAAATGGAAATAAAATGTTTGTAAATGGGGAGGGGAGGGGGGGTGAAGGGAGGGCAGGGACAAGGGGAAAAATGAGAATCAAGATCTATTATGTAAAGGGGTACAGAATCCCAATGATGAATGTAATTGTATTGTATACCTAGATTGTACCAATAACCTCAATAAAAAGAAAAAAAAAATTAAAAAAAAAAAAAAAAGCCCTGGAAGTTGGGGGATAGTGCTCTGACAATTAAGAAATACCAAATATCTACCTTAAAGTTGTCAGAACAGGAATAGTAACCAAAATTAAAACAAAGAATTATATCTAGAGTTATCTATAAATTAAAAGAAGGGACAAGAGAGACTATTTTCAGGACCAGAAACTGGGTTGTGTCACCTGAGCACAAAGGAAAACAATCTGATAAGGAAGACTAATGAGATACAAAGTTAACGAAGTTTAGAATCCAATAAACTTTCAGTATTTGTAGCATTGCTGGCTGATTGCAGAATAATGTGATTTTGACCAGATTGCCTTAGAGGGAGGATATCATATGAGGATATTCTAACTAACAAGAGATAAGAGCAAAAGATAAATGCAGAACGTTACAATACCGGAAGACCTCTAGTTAAAGAGCATTAACTAAACTACACTTTCATACAACAATGTAAGTACTCACTTGATACTAAACATTTGTAAAATCACTGTCAAGGAAAAGGTTGTTGAGGCACAGTCCTTTTCCTTAAGAAACTTAAAATCTAGCATGGAAATCAAACAAGTGATCAAACAAACCCAATACAACTGCAATACTACTTGGTAAGTGCTGCAGCAGAACTGCAGAAAATGCCACAAGAGCTGTCTGTAGAGAGAAAGAGGATCTTAAAATAACTTGTATAAAGGGAAAAGAATATAAGGAAAAAACCCAGTAAAGACAAAAATTAACATAAGCACATTAATATTGGTAAAATTAAACAAATATTTTATCCAAACATATGCTTTAAATCACTACAATTAAGCCCAGCTATAGAAACTGTGTAATTTAAAGTCCATTTTAAAATATGCAGTGTGGGCTATGGGTGTAGCTCGGTGGTACAGTACTTGCCTAGCACACGCAAGGACCTCAGCCCAATCTCCAGCACTACAAAAAAGAAAAAAAAATGTAGCAGAAAAATAAATTGGAATGATGTGTGAAAGCCAAAGGAAAAACACTGGTAAAGCTCAGTAAAAGCTGGGTGTGGTGGCGCATGCCTGTAATCTCAGGGCACTGGGAAAGTTCAAGCCCAGTCTGGACAATTTAGAGAATTAAGACTATCTCAAAAAAAGGGGTGGGGGTAGGGATGTACTTCAATGCAAAGGCCCTGGTTTCAATCCCTAGTATGCAAAAAAATATATAAATTTTAAAAAGCGGAACAATTTCATCTCACTGAGTAAGTAAGCTGTTCTTCCCCCACTTCTACTGTTATTTCAGAAGTGAAAAAATTGACCTCAGTAAATAATTACAACTTTTTATCATTGTTTTAGAGTCTAACAATCAATTCACATGCTCCTATTAGATTACTAAATCAAATTAAAATCATATAATCTATCTAAATACAATAGTTCATCACTACCTCATTTAATGCCACAAACCAAGTATGTACTCTATCTCCCTCTTATCTAATATTTATGGAATACTTAATATACACCAAGTACTATGCATTCCTGATGGTGCATTCTAGAGGCACCAACTGATTCTCAAAGTAGAGCCCACTAAATTAGGTACTAATCCCATCCCCACTCTGCAAATAAGGAATCAAGCTGTGATAAATTAACTCGCCCAGATCCAGAAGGCATTTCAGCAAAGTCAGAAGTACTTACTCTTGTCTGTCAGTACTGTAAGTGGGTACAACCACTGCAAATGCACTGTGCTGCCTCTTAGTAGATGCCTGTGAAAAAGCAAGAAAAAGCAATTAGCAAATTTCATAGGTAAGTTTATGTCTTTGAAGAAAAGGTTATCAAAACCATAACAAAAGCTGGGCATGGTGGCACACTTGGGAGGTTAAGAGTTCCAGGCCAGCCTGGGCTACATAGCAAGACCATGTCTCAAAGAAAACCAGCAAACCTATAACAAGTTACATTTCCTCCCAATTCAACACATTTATGGCCAAACTAGGACATACAGAATTGTGTTCTGAATCTTGAATTCACAGTATATTGGGGGTATGACAACAGCCTCTGATATTAACTTCGTAATTAAAACTAAAATTTAAACAAATGATAATACAAACTGGAACCAAACTCCCGCAGGTGTCATTCTGAGCTGTTTTTCAATCTCAAAACTTCTGACACCAAATGTGTATCTTTTTCATACCAACTAATCTCCAATTCTGCAGACAGCAACTGGGTATCAATTCAATTCGGACACCATCTCCCTCACCTCAGATCCCACAAGACTGCCCTGCTTCAGATGCCAACCCCAGGTCCTTGGCCTCCTGTGACTCTGACCATGCAGCTCTCTCTTCTTAATGTCCAATAATTTGCTAGAGGGCTCAGGAACTCAGGAAGGTATTTTATTCACTACTATTAATGGTTTATTTTCCCAGGATCTTGATAAATACACTAACCCAGATCTCTAAATACAATCCTTTAGGGTCTGTTATGAATCCTTCATGTCACAGGCATGACTAATTAAATTACTGGCCACTGGTGACTATCTCTACTTTTTCTCCAGACCTAAACGGTGGGACAGTTCAACCTCTAATCATGCTGGGATCTTTCAGATGTTCAGCCACCAACCCAAAACTATCTAGGGTTCTGGCAGGAAGTACCTCACTGCAACAAAAGACAATCTTATCACTCTTATCACTAAGGAAATTCCACAGATGTCAGGAACAAGAGAAGAAGACCAAACATACATTTCTTATTGCATCAGATTAAGCACCCAAATACTCAGGGTTAAACACTGAGAAACTATGATAAAAAGACATTGCTCCTCCTACCTTTAAGGAGCTCATTTACAACTTATCCACCGAAAATTCTTCCCTTTGAGTATATTTTATTTTATTATTTATTTATTTATTTTTGGTACCAGGGATTGAACTCAGGACCTCGCACTTGTGAGGCATGCACAGTGCCACTGAGATAAATCCCCCCCTCAGTATATTTTAAACACTAAGTAAAGCAGAAGATGTCTTTAAAATTATTCTAATCTTTCCAAAAAGTGCTAAAAAAAAAGTAAGTCTTAGGGTGGCACCAACAAAGCCTGAGAAAAAGAAACAACCAACTGCAACCCCCCCCCTAATATGTATGGATTCTACACCTGTGGATTCAACCAACTATAGATAAAAAATATTTGAAAAAATTTGTTAGTATTGAACATATACAAACTTTTTTCTAGTTATTATTTCCTAAATAGTACAACCATTTACATAGAATTTACACTGTATTAGATATTAAAAGAAATCTACAGATGATTTAAAGCACATGGGAAGACATACAAAGGTTATATGAAAACACCATTTCATATTAGAGACTTGAACATCAGGTTTGGATAAAAAACAATCCCTCCTGGATATCAAAGGACCATTTAACCTGAAAACAACAACTCAGATTAACCTGACTGCACAAGTGGTTCACTAAAAGATAGTAAACTGGAAGGGGCAGTTCTTCATGGGCCCAGGTATTAGGCTGAGGTTTCCAAAACTACCACTGGGCTTTGTTTTGTAATTAACAAAACATATTATAAAAAGATAAAAATTTTATTACTTTATATTTCAGATTAAGTAATCATTACACAATACTTGTATGCTACTGAAAACCTACACTTCATATATGTTAGTTCATCACCTTGCTTCTACAGCCCTTTAAGGATTTTTAACTTTTATTAGATACATTATCTTTAAATATACTGGTTTTACATAATTTCTACTAAAACCAACAAAAATTATACAGAGATTGACAAGCTTATTTTAAAATTTATATGGACCGCAAGTTCCAAAGTAATTTGGAAAAAGACTAAAGATGGAGAACTAATATCACTTGATTTTAAGACTTTCATAGCCCCTAGTGGTCAAGACGACAGCCATGGGTTAAAAAAAAAAAAACAAACAAAAAACAAAAAATACACAAAGATCAGTGGAATGCAAGGGTTCACAAATGGACACACATGTATATAGTCAATGTTTTTGACAAAGAGACAAGGGGAATTCAATGGAGAAAAGACAGCTCTCAAAAAATGGCTATGGAACAACTGGACAAATTAAAAAATCCATAACTCCCACTCTATACAAAAACTGACTCAAAATAGATTATAATTCTAAATACAAAATACAAAACTATGAGACTTGAAGAAAATATAGAAGAAACTCATTAGGAAAATAGTTCTCATGTATAATAACAAAAATAAAATCTATAAAAATTTTTTTTAATAAAGTTGAACATCAAAATTTAAACTTCTACGCTATAATTGTCAATTCCCCTACTGATTTTTACACTTGATCTTAGCGAAAAGGCCAAGAAGCAATCCCCCTACAGATTTTTTTACCATGAAGCAGAGTGATATGCAAACCAAAACTAAGGGTCAAATCAGGCACACCCTGCTTTTCAAGTACAGTAATGCCTGACATAAAGATGACAGACCATATAAAAGTGATCCCATGGCCAGGCATGGTGGCGCACACCTGTAATCCCAGCACCTGGGAGGCTGAGGCAGGAGAATCAAGACCAGCATGGGCTACATAGTGAGACCTTGTCTCAAAAACCAAAAGAAAAAATAAAATAAAATAAAAGTGATCCCAGAAGATCATAATGGAGCTGAAAAGTTCCTACCACCTCATGATGTCATAGCTTAATGCATTATTCACACATCTGTGGTGAAGCCGGGGTAAACAGAATCTACTGCATATAAAAGTGCAGTAATTATGTAAAGTACTTAATACTTGAAAATGGCAACAGTTATGTTACTGGTTTGTGTTTATTCTATTATTATTAGAATGTACTTTTTAAAAAAAAAGAAAAACGCTTACTGTGAAACAATGTGCCATGTTAGTCTGGCAGCAGTCTCATTTTTTTTTTAAACAGAGTCTGGTTAAATTGCCCAGGCCAGCCTTGAACTTGTGATCCTCCTCTGCCTCAGCCTTCAGACAAGGTGGGATTAAAGGCATGTGCCACCTGACTTTTCTATATCCCTTTGCTGCATCAGGAGGCCATACTGACTGATTTATGCCATCTAGATTTTTATAAATGTACTCTACAATGTTCCCACAATGACAAAATTACCTAATGACCCACTACTCTTCTCAGAACGTATCCCTGTCATTAAATGACACATAGCTGTAAAGTTTTATGGGAACACAGTTGACTTGTTTGCCTACCTTTCCACTCTGATAACAAAACTGAATACCTGCAACACAGATGATTGGACCCACAAAGCTTAATATACTGACAGAAAGTAGTCCACCCCTGCCTTGAAGGATCAAAAGGCCAAGAACCTAAGAGGCCGCAAAACTTCAATGTCAGTGTCTTTGAGACAATTATTAACTGAAGGGAGTTTAAAATTATAAGACAAAAAACTAAAATGTTTGAATTCTTGTAACAGTAAATGATTTGACAAGGCCAAATTCATAGTAACAAAATTTAAAACCTTGATTATCAATTTACTGAAACTTCATAAACTGCTGTAGTTTGAATCAATGGAAGAAAACTTCATGGTCCAAAATATATTTAATAACCATACACATTTTCACCACGATGTATCCACATTTTCATGAAGGAATATACTCACTTCAAAACAAAACAAGTGGGGCCGGGGATTTAGCCCAGTGGTTCTGCCACCTACTTTGCAAGCCTTGCAAGCACAAGGTCCAGAGTTCAATCCCTGACACACACATACACACACACAAAAAAGTGATCATTATGTACTGTAAACATGTACTAATTAAAATTTGAAAAAATGAAAATATTTTTAAAAATCCAGAAGTGGTGATGCATCCCTGTAATCCCAGCACTCAGGAGGTTGAAGCAGGAGGATCACCTCGAGTTCAAGGCCAGCTTGGACTACAATAGTGAGTTCCAGGCTGGCCTAAACTATATAGTGAGACCCTGTCTCAAAGAAACAAACAAACAAAAATAAAAAAAAGAGAGAAAACAAAACAGAACCTAGACTTTTCTTACAGGAATTTCACTCTATATTTTAATTTATATTTTTTAACTTAACAGTCACTGAAGTCAATCTACTCTGACAAGGCCAAACATACAACTACAATTGATTTTCTGGTATAGGAAGGAGCCTGGTTTTGGAGTTTTGTTTGCAACTTACATTTTCATTCTAAATGAAAACCTCCAAGATCTGGGCATGGTGGTGCACGCCTGTAATCCCAGCACTCTGGGAGGCTGAGAGAGGAGATTGCCGTGAGTTGGAGACCAGCCTGGGCTACACAGTGAGTTCCAGGTCAGGCTCAACTACATCGTGAGACCCTGTCTCAAAAAAACCCTCCAAATTATATCATTTTATCTTCATTCAAAATACAATTAATTCTCTTCAACGGACAGTTCCTCACACTAGATCTCTGAAGAAGCTCATCCTTAGCCATAGATTCAATTGAGACTTCCACATCAATACTTCTCAAATACTATGTCTCTGCTGCACTTGTAGCCATAATGGTCTTCTTTCAGTTCTCCAAAGGCACTATATTTGGTCCTCCTATACCTTTGCATGAACTACCCAGCCCATCAGTAATACGCTCCCCTTAGTAAGTCTTACTACTTTCAGATCTCAACTGGACTCAAGCTTTCTTCTCATCATTCTTGGTCGGGTTTTACACTTGCTTTACATTCACATAATATGGTTCCTTTGCTTCAGAAGATTTAATGAACCATTATGCTTTTGTTCTATATCTCCTTCCCTCTTGGATGATGTCAACCCTCCTAAACTACAGTACAGTTAGGGAAAGCAAGGCAGGCATTGATTGCTTTAATCATCATCCATCTTTTCAGGCAGGTGAGCTCTGCCATTTTTCAGTCTAAGACCTCTTTTAGGCAGTAATTTCAGCAGAAATGTAAAAGGAACATGTATGTGGGACTCTTACATACTGATGCTAGCTACTGTGTAATCAATGCAAGAAAGAAAAGTTTGCAGTACTCTCCAAAATTCTGAGGTGTAAACTCAATTTATTCTTTTTACATTATCACCTCAAATTCTTGTTCTCAAGACCTCATCCTTTTTAGGGAGCAGCACACTTCCTTCCACAAAATTGCTTCCAATTATACAAGATTTAAGCAGTTAAGACATTATTCTGCCTCTAAGCACTTTTTAGTTTTTTTCTAAATTAGATTTTTTATTTGGAGATAATTTAAAATTCACATAAAAATTTAAAAATAAGAAAAAATAAAAATAAAATTCACATGTAGTTAAGAAATAATATATTCTATGTACCCTTTACCAAATTTCCCCAATGGTTATTATCTTGAAACCCTATATACAACATCTCCACCAGAATATTCCCACTGGTGGTATACAATAAAACAGTCAAGATACACAAGATTGCTATCATCACAATGACCCCTCGAGTTACTCTTTTACTTCCCTCCTTCCTCTATAACATCCACAACCCCCTGGTAACAACTGATCTGTTCAATTCTTCAATAATTTGGCCATTTCAACAATGATATAAACAGAATCACATAATAATCTTTTGAAATTGGCTTTTTCCACACAGCATAATCTTGTAGAGATTCATCCAGGTGATGGCATATAGAAGTAGTTTGTTTCTTTTTATTGCAGAGTATTATTTTACAGAATGGATATATTAGTTTAAATGTAAATTCAAAGGCATATTTTTATTATGAATAGAGTTTCTATGAAGTTTTGTAAAAAAACATACACTTCACAATCCAAGTCCATTTTAAACAACTTGTCTAAATAAACCCAGTGTGAGAAATGTTTGACTATAATAAAACATTTTCTTTCTTCCTTTAGTAATTTTAAACGTCTTCCTGTTTTCAATCTGCAGTACAGATACAAAATCAACATATAAAAGTTAACTGAATGTCTATAAACTATTAATGATCAGTTGGGAATTGAATTTTTTTTTTTTTTTTTTTTTGTACCAGGGATTGAACTCGGGCTCTTGCACTTGCAAGGCAGGCAAAGGAACCACTGAGCTAAATCCCCAGCTGGGACCAAAAGATTTGAAATACTTGGGTATAAACCTATTAAAATATCTGTAGCACCTATATGTTGAAAACTACAAAACCCCATGAAAGAAATCAAAAAAGATCTAAATAAAAACTGTCTTCACAGGTTAAAAGACTCAATGTTGTTAAAATGTCAGGTTGAGCTACAGATTAAACAAAATCCCAATAAATATTCCAACAGATAACATATTTTGGGGCGGATATCAACAAGAGATTTCTAAGTATTATCTGGAAAGGCAAAGGAACTAAAATAACCATAACAATTTTTTTTAAAAAGTTGGGGGCCTCATATTACCTAAAGTCTAGACATGTTTAAATTATTACAATAAAGACTGTTTATTGTCAAGAGGATAGACAGATCAATAGAACATAAGAGTCTATGTTACCTGGTTTTTGACAGAGATAAGGGCAATTCAATGAGAAAGGAGAATCTTTTTCAACAAATTGTCATGGAATAACTGAACAAAGAAATGAAACTCTGGGAGAAAATCTTGACAAACCATTTACTGGACAAAAAACTACAAAGAACACTCAAAATTCAACAATAAGGAAACAAATTAGGTGAGTCAGTGTAGGCCTATAGTCCTAGCCACTGGGGAGAATGAGGCAGGAAGATCATTTGAATCCACAAGTTCAAGGACAACCAGAACAACAAAAGGCCCTGAAAAATAAATAAAAATGGGCAGATGTGGACACTTCACCAAAGGAGATATAGATGACCAGCACACGAAAAGATACTTAACATAATCATAAGAGAATTGCAATTAACAATCACAATGAGGTACCACCACATAACTATCTAACGTCTAAAACTAAAAAGACTGATCATACCAAGATCTAAACTGACCAGGACCTAAAGCTACTAGAACTCTCATATAATACTATGTGGGGAAGGCAAAGTGGTTCAGCCATCTTGAAAACAGTTTGATAGTGTTAGTTTCACATACTGTTATAACAAATTACCATAAACTTAACAGTTGCATTTCTCTGACTCTGCTTCCTTTGTTACATCTTTTTTTCTGACTATTCTTCTGTATTTTTCTTTCCTTTGTAAGACTCCTGATATATGGGCACACCTGAGTAATCAATGAACATCTCCTAATTTTTAAAGCCAACTGTTGTTAAGACTAACAATCTTAATTCATTTTCACCATGTAACCAAACAGTCACAATTCCAGTCATTAGTACATCTTTAGTGGCCACTGACACGACAGATGAAAGGGAACAAGTACTATATGATACCTAATCAAGTGGCAGAAACTTAAAAATCTGATAACACCAATAAGGATGAGAAACCACTGTCACTCGTATTGTGTTGGCAGAAACGATACGCAAGGAAGGCAGAAAAGATACGCAAGGAAGACCGGAACACAGATATTAAACATTGTTTGAAATGTTGAAAAACGGAATCAGGCATGGTAGTGCACATCCCAGCAGCTGGGAGGCTGAGGCAGGGGGGTTGCCAGAAGATCAAGGCCAACATGGGGTTACACAGTGAGTTCAAGGACAACTTGCATTGTATCGCAAGACCTGTCAAAAAAAGCGTGGGGGGATGTAGTTCAGTGGTAAAGTGCTTGCCTAGCATGTGCAAGGTCCCAGATTCAATCCCCAGTACCATAAAAAGAAAAAAAAAACCCGAAAACAACCCTTCAGCAGGCGGGCTAAATCATGGTTAGGCATTTAAAAAGCAAAAAAAAAAAAAAAAA